GAAACGCTCTGCTCCTGGAAACGCTCTGCTCCTAGAAACACCCTGCTCCTAGAAACGCCCTGCTCCTAGAAACGCTCTGCTTGTAAAAACTAGGCATTGCTAGAATCAGAGCTTTTCTGGTACGCATACAAAACTCAAGGAAAAGCCTCTAAAAACAGAACTACTTATCTTAAATCTTTTATCATGTTGAAGATAGTGTTTCCTAGTGTATCTAGCTAGTACTTTGGAAACGTTCGCCCATGAACAGCCCATTACAAAATCTCATCTAGAGTAGTGACCAGCGTGACGTTATTGTACCAAGGAGTCTTGGGAGAGAGTTCGATGAAGTTCTCACCATGGAGATCACTTGGAATGAGAGGAACACTGTACTCAATAAGTACATCGTCAGATATTTTGAAGAATATAGTATATGTACCTTTCAGCTAAAATACCAAGACTTTAAAGCGTAGCTTTTATACTTCGCGCCAAGTCGTTGTATTCGCTTTCCGACCATCCATAGTTTGCCCTTCATAATGTCAGCTAAATAGTAACACAAGGTAGAGAAAAGGATTGGGGATATCATACGGAGCTTCAATCAGAATTATAGCCTTCCTTTTTACAAAGAACGACTCTAAGCTCTTAACCTTATCGACTAAATCCTCAGTGAAACTTGCGTCAGCTGCCTGAAGAGGCGGTCTCACAACGAGTAGAAGGCCATCAGCAGACGGGGTTTGATCTTCACACCGTGTTAGTAGCTCACAGTTTATGGAGCAGGTCTAGCCGATTGTAGTAGAACTACCTTTGACAGTAACCCTGTATCGCGGGGTGTAGAAGTAGAGCTCCTTGTTTGTGTCTTTCAGTTCCTGCACGGCTTCTTCATAAGAGTCTATGCTCTTTTTATGCAGTTCTTCAAGAGTCTGCAAATCTATGCCGCCAAGCTATTTTCGTAAGCCAAACTCCCGTAATCGAGGATTGGAAAAAGATTACCATATAGATCAGATTTCCAGTAGCCATGTTGGCTCCAGAGCCAATGACAGCTAGGGTTTTGTTGGATAGACTACTACGGTCAGCATTGGAGAAACAAATGTGTAAGAATGAATAAACTAACTTGGTCATAGCTACAATGATAGTAGAGTTAGATGCCAGGTTGTAACGTTTTGCGGAGACATAGGATGAGGTTACCCCTCATTAGGTGCACGGACCCTCAAGGTGCACGGACATCAATGTTTTCACAGAGATCGGGAGGTTCCAAGCCTAACGTGATTCCCACATTAACAAACTTTTTGAGAGCATTAGCTCAAATGTTATGTATGAAAATCTCACTTGTGTTTCTAGCTGCCAATTCCGGTATCAAGTCCACAACCTCGGAAGGCATCGGGCTCAGTGTACAGAAGAGGTGACGCCGGCCCTGCGCTTAATGCTGGATCGTGATTGGCGATGCAAGCCATAAATCCGCATATCCGAGTGCACGACAAGAGTGGGCATGCCGTCACGAAGTGGGGCTAGTGAAGTGATCCTGTGGCACAGGCGTGAGCGGCTGAGAAAAGATAGGTACAACACTTCCTGTCCCAACAGCTCTGGATCACAACAGTTCGAGTCTATTCCTCACAACTTTATCTAGCACTGGTTGATTGTCGTCACATCTTACTCTGGACTATCCAGATCCAACGTGATGCTTGAGCTACGCAAGAAGTTACGGAAACTTAAAAGGAAAGAGCTAACTCCTGAGGTTAGCACATGCCTAGACCGATATGCTATGAAACTAATTCATGACACTAGGTCCCTCAGAAACCTCAACAGTTCTCGCAGGGTCAGGTGCCAGCTACCGAGCACAAAAAAAGCTACGGACTCTTTCTTCTTCACGAGAACGCGCTGCCTGATGACTCGAAAGACTACATAGGAGTGGATGTCGTGGCTATACATGGTCTGAATGGGGATGCTTACACAACATGGCGACACGAGAATGGAACTTTATGGCTCCGAGATTTGCTTCCGAGTGCCCTTCCTGGATCTCGCGTATTTACGTACGGGTATCCATCTGAGCTTTTTTGGAGCAACTCAGTAGCCACGTTACGAGACTATTCTGGGAATCTCCTGAGCTCTCTTGGAGCTGTATGGGAAGGAAGACAACGTCCGATAATATTCGTCTGTCATAGTCTGGGTGGGATAGTGTGTAAACAGGTGAGAAGCTCGACGAAACTATACCAATTAAATTCTAACCCATCTTTGAGGCACTTGTTATGGCACATGAGGATGACCGCTTACACGGTAACATACTATCTGCTGTTTCAGCTATCGTTTTCTTCGGAACACCACACCGCGGTTCGAGAGGGGCCGATGTTAGGAAGGCAATAGCAAGAGTCATCAACATGTGTATGCGCGTACCAGGAATTACAGGTATAGTTGGGTCCATACGAGACGACCTTCTCACTACCCTAGAATCTAATTCTCGAGCACTCAACGATCTTGCTGTTTCTTCTCGAAACCGTCTAAGAGACTTAGAGATTGTTACCTTCTACGAAACGCAAACAATACCTGGGCTTTCTGAATTGGTGAGACTAATTCTACAAAACACAAGACCACGAATCAGCGCCTAATGTACTATGGTGTATAGGTAGTTCCTCAGACTTCTGCCATATTGGAGATACCATGCGAGGATGTCATATCTCTTTATGCAAATCACAGAACGATGTGCCGTTTTGGAGGGGCAGCGGATAGCAACTACAGTCAAGTTCTGAATGTCATGAAACGATTAGCCAAAACAGCGCTCCTAAACCGAGAGATGACAATGACAGTAGACCGCACATCATCCAACCAGTGTATGTAACGAAAGACAAATCACATAATCGTATTAGCTAAAAACTTCATCAGCTTTGAGCGAAACTGAGAGATCTTGCATGGTCCTATTGAATTCAATCTACCTTGTGGAGTATAAAGCGCAGCTACCAACGCCGGTACAGGGGACCTGCAGCTGGGTTCTGACTCACCCCGCGTATTTGACCTGGCTAAAAACTGAAGAAACGAAACTACTCTGGATCACAGGTGAACCCGGCTGTGGCAAAACCATGCTCTCTGCGTATATAACAGATCACCTCAGACTAGATCATGCTACTTCAGTCAAGCCTTCAGTTTTTTTCTTCTTTTGTGACGACAAAGTCAAGTCACAGAGGGATGCAAATGCTATACTCCGAGGTATCTTGTATCAAATCGTACAGCAGCACCGAAAGCTCATCAAGTACGTTAAGAGTCGGTTCGAAACGGACGGACCCAGCCTTGCAAACTCCTTTCCGGCACTTTGGGAGCTTTTCCTGAAAATAATCAGCAATTCTGCATCAGGCGCTGTCAGGGTCATAGTGGATGCGATTGATGAGTGTGAAGTGAGGACGCGTAACAGCTTCTTGAAAGCTATAATGCAACTAGTAAATGATTCTCAGGATGTATACCGACAATCCCGAAACTGCGTCAAATTCCTGATCACCAGTCGACCGTCCCTTGGGAATTCATACGATCTTACCGGATCACTGAAGAACAGACTGTCTATCGAGGAAGATCAGGGCATTGTCAGTGAAGACTTAAGGCTTGTCATTCGAAGCAAGGTCGCCGATATTGCGAAAAAGTTCAATTGCGACGAGGAGACGAGGAGCTATCTAGAACGAGTACTATATTCCAAGTCTGATCAGAGCTTTCTCTGGTTGAATATGGTGCTGCACAGCTTGGAAACAAGCTCAAAAGCTTCGAGGAGAGATTTCGAACGAATCATCGACACATTCCCTCGCAGCCTCCAAGCTACCTATGACGGATTCTTGAGCAGAATCTCAATTGAGAATCAAGAAGATGCTGGAAAAATTCTACGTCTGCTCGTTGGATGCTCGAGATACTTGACGCTAGTGGAGATTAACACTGCATTCACAATTGATCAAGACCACGAGTCTATAGCCGATGTGGTCAATGATTTACAGCACTCTATCAGCACAACACTACAGAACATCGTAGGGTCATTCGTTCGCATCAGAGAAATAAACTACACCTCTAATCAGGACTCAAAAGTTTCGCTTGTACACCAGTCTGCCAAAGAGTACTTAACAGATCTTGCACTTCGTTCTGCAGAGAAGACAGTGAAAAGTCTTGCAGTTTCTTTACCGAATGCAGCGCTGGAAATATCTCAATCATGTATACGGTACCTACTCCTAGAGGAATTCCAATTGGATATCTTTGCTCCAGAAGGAACAAGCCGCGGGACCAACTCGCCTGAATCCTATCGTTCTTTCCCATACACCGACTTCGACACAACAGCTCCGGATGATCATCTCGGCCTAGACAATCTCGGCTTAGACGATCATCTTGGTCTAGAAAGTTTCTTCAAAAACTCGCGCGACCTAGACGAAGATCAATCTGCACTGACCGCTCAGAAGTACAAGTTCTTTGATTATGCTGCCACCCATTGGGCAGAGCACTACTCTCTATGTGAAGACATCGCCCCAAAGACTGTCCAGGATGCCGTCAAGGAATTGACGAAGAGTTCAGGCTACGTTCTAACAAACTGGTTGAAATACTACTGGTTCAAAAACAATATGGAATACTCGTTTCCAGATGTTTTCGAGACTATTGAAGTAGCCGCGTTTTTCAACTTGTCCATACTACTTGCTGAGATTTTAGAGAAGGCAGAGTTTGACAGCGATGCAAAGAAGGTCCAGGCTCTATTCTGGGCAGCGAGGAGGTCTTCTCTAAAGTGCATGAAAGTATTGCTTCAGCACGATACAAACCCCAATGGAATCGGTACTGACCGACAAACGCCATTGACTATATCGGCGCAGTATGGCCATCTAGATGCTGTCCAGATACTTCTTGACGAGCCATTCACGGATGTTACTCTAAAAGGCAAATCTGGAAGGTCAGCCCTATCATTTGCAGCAGGAAACGGACATCTGGAGATTGTAGAAGTCCTGCTGAAACATGAAGCTCTCAGGCTAAACGATCAGGATAACGCACGTTGGACTCCACTTTTCTGGGCTGTGATAGGAGACCATGCGAAGGTTGTGCAACTTTTACTAAGGCAATCGTGTATTCATATCAACGAAGTCGACAAACATGGACGCTCAGTGCTATCCTGGGCTGCGGGAGAAGGCGCGGGACGAGCTTTGAAGGTCTTACTTAGGCACCCCTCTATCGACCTGAACCTGAGGGATATTAAAGGGCTCTCTCCACTACTATGGGCTGCAAGGAACGGTCAAAGAGAAATAGTTAGTATTTTGGTGCACAAAACGGGAGTTGACAAAGCCGCAAAAGATAAGGACTTACGCAATGCGATCTCCTGGGCATGCCAAGGGGGGCATACTGATACTTTGCGCATTTTACTTAAGAACAACTGTGGGGGTGAGGATGACGTTGATGTCGACACTTGGACACCCTTGCTATGGGCGCTCTTTGATCGGTCCCCAGCGACTGTGGAAGTGCTTCTTTCGAGCCAGCGCGTCCAAATCGACCGCCAAGACGGCTATGGGCGTACAGCCTTGATATGGGCTGCGAGCTATGGGTACCTAGACGTGGTGCAGCTACTGATATCATGGAAAGCAAATGTGCTTATCAAGAATCATGGTGGACATGCTGCTGCAGATGTCGCAAGGATGGAAGGGCATACGGAGGTGTGGGAATTTTTGGAGGCTCAGCAACGCAAGGAACTAGAGAAGAGTGTAGATGAGTGAGTAACAATATGTGCGTAGTTTCCCATCAATACGAGCGTGTAAAGAGAGAGTAGTTAACCTAACGTCAATCCAAGCGTGCCGGGATGCACGGTGTAACAGGACACCTTTTCTTTCGGGTGTTCGGAGTGCTCCCACCACGCCTGTAAATCGACAGATTTGGCGTGCATCGATTGTGAAGCTCTCGTCCTTTGAGCATATCAGTCTCCGATACCGAAAAATGGTTGTGTGTACAGTATCACGTTGATGCATACTCTTGATGATGTGGGCACCTGCAGCCATCACGACTACTTTCAGGCCCTATTCCCGTGGCTAACAAGGCTGAACACTATAGGGTGATGGAATGTTCCCTGACCATGCCTGCAACTGCCTGGATTTGCTCTGTTGTTTCGTAATTCTGCTTAGGCTCCACTCTACAGAATTGGTTCACGAAGTAGAGCAGGTACAAAAGGCGCGAGCCCCCCATATTTAGTCCTGCACCAGTTCTTTTCACCATGGCACCCTTTTTATTGATCAGTCTTGCGATTTGTTTTTCAGTTGGACCCATTGCAAGCAGTTCGCTCACTTACCTTGACATCAGGAATCTGTTCAGAGCAGAACCTACGGTTTTTAAGTACAACTATCGCTGGGAGAAGATTGCAAGAATCATCTTCGATACCGTTTCAACAGGCCTAGGGATTACTGGACTCGTCGCAATCGCGACTGCATCCCATTCAACAGAGAAGTACGTCTGGCTTGATGCAGTCATTATGTGCAATCTCCAACTTCTTACTAGCAACAATGTGAGGTATTCTGCCCAACTCGATAGCTCATATCGACTAATATGAACTTTAGCTTGCCCGAATACTTCAGATTTTCATTTCTCCCCCCTGGATCATATGGGCGGTACATCTGGTAGCGGTCTTAACTATACTGGACATTGCTTCCGCTGTTAAGTAGGTGAACTGAATTAGTACCAGGGGTTTTCTAATTGAAAATAGAGGCAAAATAGTATCTTCAGCTTATGAGTCGGCACTGCTGACTCGTTTCGCTACTGCATCACTTTTCTCTTCGGCACTGTCACACAAGCAATTAGAGATCCACAAGAACTCAGGATCTGAGCACAGAGATGAAGGATATATGCGATTGTTACATACCTTCGTCTTCACGAACGCTGCTGCAGCATCCATCCAGTTTTGTGGCGCGTTCTTCACCTCTAGTTTCTCACTTGCCGATGGAAGCATTTCCCCTAAACTACGACAAGGCATCTTTATGGTACGTCTCTGCGAAACTCTTTCACATTACCTAATTTTTACCAGGCATGTACTCTTACACAGCTATCATGTCATCTCCCTTTCTATACCAGTTGGATATGGCGTCGAATAATCCTCCCAATAAGCGATTGGACAAGAAGTCTGTGCCACTCAGTCGCCTGCAGGTTGGCGGATGAGAGTAATTTTTAACCAATTTATGGTAGAAGAAGGAAGGTTGCCAAGGAAAACTCTAGTCACGGGCTATGTATAGATTCATATATGAGTCTGGCTAAAAATAACTACGCTAGTTACAGGCGTTATTATATGTTCTGCGCCGAACTTTTGTGATGATTATGGGACTGTTCAAAGGATAAAGCTTTGATAGTACTTATCCTATTCGTCTAGCTAATTAGTATTGTTACTTTGATGACTCCACACTGTGGCTGAGGGCGACTGTGGCTGTGGCGATGCAATGAGCCAAGCCGTTGAGCCAAGTGAAAGCGCTTTCTAAGCCCCTTCCAGAGGGACAAGGCTAAACAAGTTGTCCATGCTACTTTGTGGCTTATATGGTTTCAATATGAGTAGCTATTTCAATACAAATAGCGTCAGTTTGCCTTTGTAGTCACTCTTCGATTAAAATATGGCCTTGCAATAGCTCTTCCAAATCTGCTTACTAGGCATGCCTATTTGACAACCACTTCACAAGCTTAGCTATCGGCCCGCCGTTCAGCCTCTGTTCGCAAGACCCACTACCTACGTGCTGAAAGAGTCCTGAAAGCTTCGAAAACGTAGTGTCGCATTCTGGACACCTAAACGGATAAACCGCGCCATCGCACTCTTCCTCCAAATCATAACAGCGAAGGATGTCGTCACGGTATTCCTCGTCCAGGAACTTCTGCCACTGATAACACATTGCAGCTGACTCGTTCAAGTCAAGAATATCAATGCCAGACGTACAAGTCCCAGACTCTAGATGGATTATCATCCCAAAATAAGTAGTGAAGGATCGAGTGCAACCATAGCATTCTACAGAAGGCGGTAGGTGCACCAGTTTGTGCTATCAGCTATTAGTTAAAGCAAGGACTGAATCAGGGTACGAACAGAACGTTCAAACACAGTGATACCTACATGTCGCAGATTGCTGGGGCTATTGAAATGACGCTCGCATCTCGCACACACATTATCATCCCTCAAATGGTCTTTGTACGCTTGGCTATCCGGTATCCACCACCCACCATCGTCACAACCGTCGCACATAATCCTATGAAGCGTGCTACGGTGGTGTTGTACCAACTCATCATAGGAGGAGCCGTCGAACGGACAGACATCGCAAATGTGGTGACGAGCTGAGGCATCGAGATGCTGGTCTCTTGCTCGAATGGTATCGAAGGTTCGGTCGCAACGTTGACAATAAGGCTTAGAAAGAGTACAAGTTTTAGCATAGCCTGTGCGAATAGCAGTCATTATGCCTAGACTGTATCGGTCAGAGGATGAGCATGGGAAAAGAGTTGACCGGACGCATGGCCAAAGTTTGCGGGGCTGGAGTAGATCCGCCCGCCAAGGTTCTGCACAACAGCTACAATGGAATCGTGCACGAATTATTGCCGGACCAATTGCTGACATAGTGGCATCTTTATCAGCCGTCGGCCTCGCAGCGGCTGAGATGGAGGCATCACGATTTCAGCGCAAGTCTGACCAATACCCACGACTTAGTAAAGGTCATTTCGCGTCTTCGCATTTCCTAGCCACACGCCTAGTGACTCTGAAACACAGGCAGATAAATCATTGCTAACAGCGCTCGAGCAGTCGCTATCGGACAAGGTGTAATACTCCGTACTCTCCTAAGCGTCGCACTGCCGCATAAGGTGGCCTGTGCGCCGTCCTTGTTCTGCGTCTTATGCAGGTCGTGCCCGCCCTTGGGCATTCATCCTTCTTTCCGTAGCGCGTCCCTCGATTGCCGCAACACCACAACACTACAAATTTGCCTCGCTGGAAAAAGCTTTGTCATGGCCCCAATTTGTCCTCCTCCTCCTCCTCCTCCTCCTCCTCCTCCGTGGTAAGCTTATGCTTGTCTCTGCCGCATTTCCCCTTGTGCTAATAATAGACTTGTCAGCGACGCCCCCTTTCCTGAAAAGCCTGTCATGCCCGTTATTTTCGACACCGACCTTACTACTGTCGTTGATATGACGAAAGCTAAGAACATCGCTGTGCACAAGATTGACAAATCAATTTGGCACCTGCAAGACTCTGACCGCATACTCAAAAGAGGGCCTAA